TTTGGATTCCTAAAACTAGCCTATTAATTGAGACAAATAAAGTTTCTGAATTTCATCTCATTTACATTTATGAGTGATTACTGATGGAGAGTTTAGAATCAGATCAAAACAATCAATTAATATTGTTTAGTTGCTGCAAACGATCCACTAATTAAATTCATTTTATGATGAAAATAGTCTTTCAGGTAAGCAAAGATGAATAGTGGCTAGCAGTGGAATCCAGGAAGCGCGTTTCTTTCTAAACATCGATGCGAACTTTCAAGTGAACAATACCAAGTGATGAGAGAGGGATTTTGTGAATATTATAGCAAATTAATGGTTGAATTTACGAGTTATTTGGAGCCAGACTACCATGGAAAACCTGAAAGCACTAGCATATATACTAAATGACAAGGATTCGAGTCCCTGAGCGAACATCAACTCTTGGATGCAGGTACATCCAGCTGACGAGTCTTAAATAGGACGACACGCGCATCAAACTGGATTTCGCTTCTAGTCATTATCCATCCTTGCTTGAAATGCTTGTGACTTAAGGCTATATCGAGGCAATCCACACAGGATGCACATATGCCAATAAGAGACTGATTAATTGTAGTCATAAATAAGAATGAGTAGATACAAGTAACCAATAAAATGAACGTAACTTAAGAAGAACAGTAAATCGTATGATAATAATCTATAGATGAAAATGATTCTTATAATAAGAGGAATATGAATATACACAAGTTAATTACTGAATAGTTAAACAATAAGAATATATTTCTAGCATTATTTCATTGAGATAATCTGTTTCAAATGCCGATTAACTTGCGAAATGCAACCAACCATTTACAAATACTTGTACCTTCTTGACGAAGTTCGACCACTATAAGCAGCCCAATGTCCTTATTGGAATGCGACCGCTTCTCCACCATTGTAAAAATATATTACTTAATTCTTTTAAAAAAAAATTAACAAATAGATTTGTAACATAAATCGATTGAATTTTCTCTTCTTTTTATTATATTTAATTCCTAGTCAAATGAAGATATGAAAAGGACGTATAACAACTGGAAAGGGTTGGAGAGGGTTGACTAGAACATAGTTGAATGGAGAGTGTTGGTTGGCGGCCTATCCTCGCTCCTTCATGAGGAGTAACAGGGGTAAGTAGTCAAATATTAGCATAGATCATTGAGGATCTTAAAATATAGTCATTTCAAATTATCGCTCCATACAGTTATTGTGTGATTAAAGCATTTTGATTGATTTTTATTATTATTACTTTATTGAGTAACTTCAAGTTCTGTGAATAAGCTAATATGTATGGATTATTAGATGTCAGTTTCAGTTTATACGTACATGATTATAGCAGAAGACAAAATACGAAGATTGTTATATTCTAATGAAGATTAAACTATGGGCAACTTCTGTCAACTAATAATGAACTAATACTATAAATATATTCTTATTGTATAACTATTCAGCAACTAGATTGTGTATATTCATTTTTGTGTATTCATTTTGATCGATAGACTATGATCATACGATTTACTGTTCTGAAATTATACTCAGTTTATTGATTACAGTCTCACCACAATCACTCCCACAGCCACATCTTGACTTCACCTTGTATAAATGTTATTTCCTATTGGATAGTGTGATGCGACGGTGTGTTTGGCTGGTATATAAACCAAGTATGTTTGAAATAAATGATTCACATAACGGAAGCTTTTATTAGTGTTCTGGACTGAAGTCGACGGGCTAGGAGATCAAAAGAACTGATAAGGAGATTAGGCTGTTCATAGTGGTCGAACGTTATTGCTTTGGTACAGTTTTAAACCTGTATAAGTTTTATTTCAATTCGCGGATAACTCACGTGAAAACTAGCTGGGTTTCAAAGTCACAACAAAGTGTTAGCAATCTCATAGAATATGTTGTTCATATAACAGTCAGTCACAATGCAATCACTAAATGAATTTAAATTCAGGTCGAAGTAGAAAATGATAGAATGTTATATCAGTAATTCATAAGGTTATTGAGTTCATTGAGATAATCTATTTCAGATGCCAATTTACTTTATAAATGCAACCAACTATCAATCCATTGATGAATACATATTGGTCCCATAACACTATTCTGTTGACGTACTAACGAGTTTCTATGCAGATAACGTGGAATATGTTCTAAATGATTTGCTGCCGAAAACGTTTTGAGTTTCAGGCTGAAAATTAATCATAATCTCTTAAAAAGAAATCTCAGTGTATACATATTTTTATAATGGGAATGTGGGTTTGTGGAGATTGTAGTAATTGAATGGTTGAATTCATGAGTCGATTTAAGATAGGCCATCACGGAAAACTTGGAAAGACTGGACGGCCGTTTCGCTGTAGTATGGAACTCCTAGGCGGTGTGCATCCACGATCCCGTACTAGGGACTCCAACCCAGGAACCTCGATCTCACTCTTGAACGCTTACCCTCTAGACCACTGAGCTGGAATCCAACGGTATTAATGTCTAACTTCGACCAGTCTGAGATATTGCGCGATCATCCACCATTATCTTCGAGTCGATAGTGCAATCAGTGGTCTGGAGTTTTGTTCTATGAGCTGGCCCGACCTTTGTTGTTACCTTGACCTGGTGGCCGGGTTTGCCCATCGCGATGAAACAACCGAGCTATACTGGCTGGAACAACCGTTCCTCAAGGTCCTACTATGTCCGACAGGTCGGTTGGAGAGCGGTGAGACTAAAAGCAACAAACCCAAGGTCCGGATGCGAAGTCGTACAGCTGACTGTACAGAGGTGTTTCCTTCAGACAACCAGCATGACAGAGATGCTGCCTTCCAACAAGGAGGGGTTGGGTTAGAAAAGGTTTACCTTAAAAATGCACACCTCGCCTTATCCCACGGATATCCGTCTCCGGCGATAAGGTCTCAACAAGTATGGAGCTGATACAAAAATTACCCATAGAAGATTGTTGCTCATTCTGGTGTACCTACTTGGACTTTGACCATGCCCTAATATGGGCACGCATCTGCTTGCGCCTCACTGGATGCAAAAAAAGCCACACCAAAAATAACCATTAGAACTGTATTGAGTAACGAGAAAACCAAAGTAGGTTCCAGGGACAACTGAGGTCACACTTAGGTAGTTCTGAAAACGAGGCTGATCCAGATGTTGCTTGGAAAGCTATACAAACAGCTGTGGAAACAGCAGTGACATCTATCAGTGATTTAAACCACTGGGTTACAAAGAACTAATGGATTTCCTCTAGGTCTATTGCACTGATGGATTCTCGTAAACTCATCTTATCAGGCCCTGAACACAATGAAGAGCGACAACAAATCAGATCTAGATTAAGCAAAAGTCTAAGGAACGACCGTGAGCAGTGGTGGGCAATGAAAGCAAAAGAGATGAAAAAGGCGGCGGCCATAGGGAACACAAGACAGCTCTATAGGCCAATAAAGGAAACTGAAATTAACAAGTCAAGTGTAAGTCAGACTATTTCGGAAAAAGACGACATCCTCATCTGCTCTCAGTCCAGACGTTTAGAACGATGGGCGGAACATTTCAGAGAAAAGTTCAGGTGGCCTTCAGATACTCTACAACTACCCTCCATTCCCAGACAGTGTGAATGGAACATTGAAGTAGGTCCCCAACTCTAACAGAAGTTCAAAAGGCTATAGTTAATCTGAAACGAGGAAGGTCAGGTGGTCCAGATGGATTGGTTCCAGAGGTCTTTAATGATGGTGGTCCAATTTAATCGATTACGTTGACGAATATTTTAGCTAAGATCTGGGAGTTAGACGTTATTCTATCTGACTGGTCACAATCACTTATCGTCCCAATATATAAGAGAGAGTCAAAATCATCCTGTGGAAACCATAGAGGGATTAGTTTAACTAATATAGTATCTAAAATACTAGCCTCGATAATTATCAGACGCCTAACCAAGACTCGTGAACTGCAAACACGAGAGAATCAAGCTGGGTTCAGACCTGGTCGTGGCTGCATCCACCACATATTTACCATTCTTCTGTGGGAGGGAACAAACCAGCTTCCAGCTGAGTAGGAAATTAGGAAACGACTATGGAAATGGATAGGACATGCGTTATGGACATCAGCAAACTGCATCACGATGCAAGTCCTAACGTGCAACCCTGAATGGAAACAGAAATGAGGGAGACCGTAGAACACAGTACATCGAGAATTGGAAGATGACTTGAGAAGGATTGTCTAGGATAGCGTTTGATGGAAAGTACTACTAGGCGTCCTATGCTCCTCCATAAATAATAACAACCATAAGTTAATCGTGAGTTACAAATCTTCTCCACTATCTTAAAAACCCTCAGTCGTAAAAGAATTTTCAGTCAAATTGATTAACTGATTATATTTACCAATAAAATCTATTCGTTAATTTGACTATCATTTTATACATAAACTATATCCAATCATCAATTTAGGAAAATAGATTTTAACCCTCTGACCAGTCATTAAAACTATGCCAAAAACAAGTCAGACCTAAATTTTAGTTGTCCCTTATATGATGAACGCGCTTAGGTATGTACATCCGTAAGGTATGTCAGTCCGTTACAGATCCACATATATATCCATCGATCTATATATCTGTGGGAAATACAAGCATTGGTTTTTATTAGATGTACATATAGAGTCAACTATTATAGGTTCTATTTACCAGATCTACATCTATATTTAGGCATAATGTTTATAAACAAAACAGTAAACCCAGTATTATTAGGATACATATATCCCTATATCTATATAGAATGTTCTACATCAAAATGGATAGATATACACACATTATAACTGATAAACTATCGACAATATCCTCCTCCTCATCATCATCATCAGTATTATTCTTGTCTCTACATAGATGTAAATAGGTCTTTTCTTTCTTTTCATTTTCTTTTCTTTTTTCCTTTCTTTTTGAGGGGGGCTGGGTTGGTGAATGTAACTTTTTTTCTTTTCCTAAATGATTCGATCATCGAATTGGAAAAAACAAAATGAGTGTGATCCAACATTTTCATAAAAGATCCGATTTGATTAGGATCATTCTATCTATTATAATGATTTGGTGTATGATTATGTTAATGGATTTATCCAATGGTCATTTATTGATGAAAGAAGAAAAAATTTCACGGAAATTAGTCAATTTGATTCATGCCACAACAACAAATGATTTCAATCTATGTACAATTCATTCACGTCAATTACAATACTTATTATATACTACTTATAATACTACTACTACTACTGCTACTACTACTCATTATAATGATATTCCATCAGCAGCAGGAGCAGGAACAGGAGCGTCGTCAGCATCGTCAGCAGAAGGATCAGGATCATCAACAATGATTAATTTAAATGAAACATTCTATCCAATATGTCATCATTTAATCACACAAAACTCTTTAACACAAAATTTCTTACATGATATATATAGATCTATACAGATTATGAGAAATTTCAATCGTTGGCATAGCAACAACCACTACCACGACAACCACAACCTCAACAATCATGATACCAGGAAACAATTAGAAGTCTATTTATTTCATTTATTACAATTAAATCAGCCAATTGAATTTTATAATCTGAAATTATTCAATAATTTCATCACTATGAATGATGATTATGATGATCAAAAATCCAAGTTAATTGGTATTGGTTATTGTTTCAATGGGATATTAATGGCTTATGTCAATAATTATACTACTACTACTACTACTAATAGTAGTATTAGTAGTAGTACTAATGATTCCTCTAATCGTAATTCTATATGTAGTCAATTTCTATTGAATGTAGAATTATTTGATGATAATAATAATGAGACTATACGGTTTAATGATTATGAATACGGAGAATTTTCATCCATTTGGGCACCAATTCAATGTGAATCTAATTCAATCATACCAATAGTTTTACGATATTTTATTTATACAGAAGAAAAAAGGTAAGTCTAGGAGTAAAGTGTGTTATGCCGGTTACTCCCAATGGAGTATAGACCGCTGAACATCATTCTCCAATTCACTCAGTTCTCGGCCTTCCTTTCTAGTTCTATCCAATTTTCGTTCATTTTTCTCATATTTGTCTCCATTTCTCGGCATAATGTGTTTTTTGGTCTTCCTCTTCTCCTCCTTCGGCATTGAGTATTCCATGTGAGGGCTTGTAATGTGATACAGTTGTGTGCTTTCCTCAATGTGTATCCTATCCACTTCCTGCGTTTGGAGCGAACGGTACCGGATTCGAGTCCCGGAATGAGCATCAACTCTGGGAGACAGGTACATCCAGCTGACGACTCCCAAATAGGATTAAACGCGCGTCAAACTGGATTCCACTGCTAGCCACCATCCATCTTTGCTTAATAAGCGATCATGTTAGCACATTGATGTGTATTATTTTGTCATGTTTTTTCGGTTATCCCACTAACGGTATATTCACTAATACTATTACTGAATTCATCATGATGTCCACAGTGAACACATAAATTCTCATATTGTCAAATCTCCAGTCACAATATTTAATAGTCACCTAGGTCACTAATATTTCTATTTTTAGACCCATATGTTTTGCGGTTACATTTATAAAAAATGAGACCACAAAGATACGATCAATAGTGGTAGTGGAATTTGTAGTGTAACTACGAAGTTTAATGGTCTAATAGTTAGTCACCATGGATTAGTCTGTGAAACCAATTAATGTCAGACAACTTCTCCTCATTTAGTGATCTCAATAGAAACTCAATGGATAGTATTTATTGGCAGAGAGGACTTTAATTATTAATTGGCTTGTTCTGTAAGTCTATTGTTTGAATATCATACTGAACAATCTAAGAATCCATTCTGAATATAAGTTTGGTGAATACATAAGTCACTTATGAATTGTCATAAAAAAAAATTGACTGACCATAAATATACTGCGTACTTTTCTTTTAAGCCCAAAGATTGTGTTCTTCACAAAATTTCTGAATTTATTAGGTATGCAAAGATAGTTCGTAGTAAGTCCCTGACTTAAAGTTGCTACTGGTTGACGTCAGCAACATATACTTAGAATCTTAGACGAAACTGATGTCGTCTGTGAAATCTAATAGAAGTCAATCAGTTCCACAATTAGAAATGATATCAACAAGTTGTTTGGGTTGTGGCAGATCTTCTGTACAACTTAAATGTTTACACTAATTTATAGCTGATTAATATCTGAGGTTGCGAAAATAAGCCCCTGGGTCTTGACTCAGTCACCGTACTCACCGCACGGCCTGAAGTTTCTAAATGAAATCCGTGATAAGGTTTTAAGTGTACACTACCTCAGAGTTTTAAACTAGAATCAAATATTGATTCCGTTCTTTCTGGATCTTCATTTTACAGTCAATTTACCATAAAAATTATCTTAAAATAATTGAACGATAACAATAATGGTAACAACAAAGTCACATACTATGAAGTAACTAAGCATTCTACTACTGTGATGTGTGCTACTGATGTCAACAGATATAAGTAGTATGTAACACCAATCGAAAGTGGAAAGCCTAGCGTCAGAAAGTTGAGAAAATCGAAGAGAAGCAAACAAGAACAGAGAATGATTGGTATAGAAAACATTAGATACAAATAACTGAGTTCTACAGGAATAGACTAGCTAAAATTTCCCTCAATTGGTTGGACATAAAGACTACAGAAAATTGGAACAAATGCTATTTAGACTGATTTTGATTGATGCGATTACTAGACATGTAAGAGTAATAGTCCTATGTTCGCATAATCCGACTGTTAGCAGTTTCCTCATCATCTTAGAACCATCTTACTGAATCTAAATCCTAGCCAACTTATTATATAATCGATCATAAAATTAAATCTGTTCATTAACAAGCATTATTTTATATTTTCCATAACACCTAAATCAAAGTTAAACACCTGAAACATCAAAGGTCCGTTTATTTCGATAATTCACTTCATAATTTCGGTTTGTTGTAATTCACTGATTATGTCCACTAATCTCATGTTCTTAGGCGCTTTAATAAAATGTTGACAACCTATCTCGAATTTGATTATTGAAAGATTAAGGAAACATCACTAGGACAGTTCGTGTACGTTCCTCCTCTTTTGTCCTCAAAAAGGGGACTAAAATATGCATCAAACACATTTTGTAATGAAAAGAGATATCATGAGAACAAGACCGATGGTGCCCCCAAATGCCCTGGTACGGTCAAGAGTGCGGAGAGTCAACTCCCCATCTCGAAATGCTCTCACATGGTTACGTGCATGCATCCACTATCACGGAAGTCCTACTCATTACCTTCTCGCGGCACTATTGTTGTTCATCAAATTGAGAGGACGAAAATCGAATGTCCGGCTCTGACACAGGGTTGGTGGTCACAGAGGGTCCACCTATAGGAGTCGTAAAACCCTGATTCCAAACCAATGGTGCACACGCACTCTAAGATCCTGAGGGAACAAATGGCGTATGAACCAATTGTTGGTCACTGGCTACCATGGGATTGCATCTCCTGACGTTGTTCCACTGCCTTGTGGATCAGACCTTTATGTCGAAGGCTTGGTTTGTGGTCACCTAAGAAAACCACCTTCTTAGGTCTGGTCACCCGGGCAGTGTCACAGCTTGCACACAAATCAAGTGACTTGTGTAGCGCATATGTATTCGGTACCCCACTGTATCGATATTAATGTGTTCAAATAAAGAAATAATTGGTAAATATATGAGGTTGTGAGTTTCTATCGACCGAGATGTTTGGGCCACGTGTTACGTATGTCTGAACAACGATTACCACAACGCACAATGCTGAATAGTGTTGAAGACGGTTTGAAGAATGTTAGGGGCTGCCAAACCAAAACGTGACATCAGTCTATGAAGTCACTAACTTCTGACCATGTTGGTAGATGCAGACTACTTGGTTGGGATCCACATGACTATCGTAACCAATAGTTGGAGACTGTGTGTGACATGGCTCAGAATCGATCACAATAGTGTAGATGTATATACTCTTTGTTTCCCTTTACACCACGAGATTAAAATCGCTTCATATCTCTCTTTCTACGTACTAAATCTTTCTTCCTGTAATATATCCTTATATGCAATCTTTCTTTTATATATCACCACCATTGAATTTACTACTTCTATGAGTTTGGTATTCATCTTGTTGTGCTAATGCGGTATGGCAACTTGGACCGATGTATATATGTGCCTGGTCCTACACTGTAGCTGACTGACTGACTGATTTTAATCCAAGTTTTAAACAACCAATTAAAATCTAATTGATAAATCCATCATAACTTTAAATAATGATTATAGACTTCAGGTTCGAAAAATTGGTCATTATAGATTGAACGTAATTCATACTGTGTATACTTATGTCAGATAATTTAGTTTCCTTCATTTTGTCCGATCACTGGACGGCCGTTTCGTCCTATTTTGGAACTCCTCAACAGTGTGCATCCGCGACCTCACCCCCTTCATTTTGTCATTCTTATATTTAGTCTTTTATTACTATTGAGGGTAATTTTATTTTATCTTAATTTTCTTCATCAATTTCATGATATCGATGCCAATATCAATTTCAATCCATATTGGATGATCCGTATTTGTCGTTAACCCTGTATTGTTTATATCTATCGATCTATCTAACTATCCCCTTATTTATCTATATTTATCCGTTATAATAATTGACTGAGATCAGAAGCTTAAACAGCCTAGATTCATAGGAAATAAAACTATAGTGAAATAGTGTATATTTTGATAAAGTTTCATTTACTGAGCTTAGAGAAGTTAATGTATACAGAGAAGAATCATTTTCAAGGCAAACATAATCATGTATGTACATAATACTGATGGATATAATATGAGTTTTATAATATAAGGAATTTGTTTTACATCACATGTATGTTATATATATGGGGTACAATAAAGTTTGATTGAATCAAAAGATAAATTCAGATGATGGAGACGATTTGTAGCTCAGGTGAATGATTCTGATGAAGTTTTGTTCTCTGAGCTGGATAGTTTCGTCGTGGAGCTTTCATCATTCTTCTGAATGATATCATTAGTACAAACTTCAGATGGAACCAAAACCATCCAGCTCATCGAACAAAACTCCATCTAGAAAGATAAACTTTTGTTTTTTGAAGTTTGAAATATACAGAACGAATAAATAAATAAGTAAATAAATATTGTGAATAAACAAAGTCAAAATGTAAATTTGATGTTATAGGGGTATTTAGATTGTCGTATGCCTTGGTGGCAATGGCTGTGAAATATGACCGGCAAGAGAAGAGGGTATTCGTAGGTTACTAGTATTTGATCATAGGTGTCTTCTAAGCATTACTGGTATATCCTGGGACTACCGAGTAAGTAATGAAATTGTTAGGAAACGGGTACTGGGTAAGGATAGCAAATCAATTAATGAACTATTGGAACTTTATTAGTTGAGATGGCTGGGACATGTGATACGTATGACCAACCACACACTGCTCAGACGAGCGATGTTTTATGGTGTAGGAGTAGTTTGCAAGAAAGCTAGAGGCGTCAGACCAAAACACTGGCACAAATCCATAAAGTCACTGACAAGTGAAGTCAGTGGGCCATGTCTGTAAGTGTAGACTACCTGGTTGTGATCTGCGAGGTGATAGCAACCAATAGTTAGATACCTTGAATGCCATGGCCGAAAATCGTAATGGAGCAAGTGCATCCACTCGTTGTGTTCTCCCAAATTCTAATCTGAATTCTTCATGTCCCTTTCTTTTTCCTCTTTCCAAATGTATTTCACTGGATTATACTCTTTGAATAACATGTTCGAACCCTAGTGTTTTCGATGAATACTTATACTTTTACTACTTCTACCACTGTGGTTTTGAATCGACAATTGTATCAGTGTGCTAATATGGTATGGCAACTTGAACCGATGTACATACGTCCGTACAAAGTTCTACGTTGTTACTGACTGACTGAATCATGCATTTACGTTTTATGATATTTATATAAGAAAACTAAAGGTTAAACTAGACAAAATGGAACATACGTAACCAACAAGATAGTATAGAACAACGATACGAAATATACCACTCAAAATATTTAAATTAACTGGGTATTATTATAGTGGATTTGTTGTAAGTACATAGTGTTTTTTAACATACAGGCTAGACGAAGTTTATCAGAATTATGTGATATATTCACGCAATACTTCGAGAACAATCTGATCACACCTAATATACTTGTTAAGAACATTTATATGGGAACACATAGCAAAATGATTGCAGAAACAAATGGATTCCAATGGTCAAATAAGATCACACGATAGACAGACATCATCCTCCATTGCGAAACATTTGATTAAGACTGGTTATAAGGTTGACATCAAGTCACTATTTGTAGTGTTATACAAAAGCCTTCAAGGACGTATACTAAGGTTTATTGAAGCCTTGGCTATATGGAAATTGAAACCTCCTTTTTGTGTTCAAAAACAATTTGTCCTTACACTTAACCTACCCTGGTAGTACTGATTTACTATCCAGAGTGGTAATCACATTTGTTTTTTGTACTTTTGTGTATTTTTCCCTTTGATAAGGGTTACCTTTAACCTGTCTAATTGACCTTTTAATTTTTCATATATAAATGTTCTTAACAAGTATATAAGGTGTGATCAGATCAAAGGGACTAATTGTTTTAAACACAGACTGGAGTTTGTTATGAAATGTGGCTAACTGAACATGATTGCCTTAAACTATCTGACTTTCTTAGTAATGTACTAGTGTAGTAAACGAGAACTTAGTTGGAGTAATTTAATTTGCTGATTAGTGCAGAACTATATAGTGCTTCCGTAATCAGAATTGACTGATCACTAGGTGATGATCAATGTCATGTGTGTCAAGTCCTTATTTAGTGCACATCGAATGCTATCGACCATGTGCTTTCGTAAAATACGAAAGTCATATATTAAATACATTGTTTACACATCTTCCTTCAGTTATCCTGTACATACTTCTTCATTCTTTCAATTCAGTTTTTATTCCTATTCCTCTCTGTTTCCTTTTCTCTTTCCTTTATCTCAATCTTCAGCTGGCAGACATTCTACATCTTATTGCTGCTACATACTACTAATATCTGTCAGCATAAGCAGTATACACCATACTAGTATGTGTTACAGTTGAATGAAAAAGCTTACAGAAACTGTACAGTTTAAAGATAGTTCTTTTTCCTCATAGATTACAAAGTAATCAGTAAGGAAATGCCGTTTCGTCTGTGCATGAAATCTTCAGCAACACAAACTCATGACGTTGTCATAGATCGATTCTAGAACATTTTAGACTACCTTACAAATATGTTATTCACTTTAGATCATTGAATTGTTTGTTATCCAGTGTAATAAATTGATAACTTCAATAAACTTGGGTCATATTATCATTCTGTTCATCAGTATATCAGTTGAAATTAGTTTCCAATATAAATCATTTTCAAATAGATAATAAGTAGTATGATAATTTTCAAATAATTTATTTTCTTGAATTCTTTTCCAGTTTATTTTTCGAATTTCATTTGAAGGATTATACTATTGATCAATGTGCTTTGAATATAAATCGATGTGAAGCAACAATTCGAGTAAGTTGATAGAGATTGTCAAGTTTTATTCTCAATTTACTAAAAATTTCATTGCTTTATTTCTTAGAAAATTTGTAGTAGTAGTAGTAGCGGTAGTAGAGTATTAGTATTAGTATTAGCAGTATTAGTATTAGTATCAGTATTAGTATTAGTAGTAATAGTGATAGTAATAGTAATAGTAGTAATAGTAGTAGTAGTAGTAGTAGTAGTAGTAGTAGTAGTAGTAGTAGTATATTTGTAGTTACTTTCTTTCGCCTGTTACTCCAAATTGAGCAGAGGCGGCTGACCATCATTCTCCAACCCAATCTGTCCTGGGCCTTTCATTCTAGTTCTATCCAATTTTCGTTTATTTTTCTCATGTCTGTCTTCATTTCTCGGCGTAACGTGCTCTGTAATCTTCCTCTTTTACTTTGACCTTCAGGATTCCATGTGAGGGCTTGTCTTGTGACGCAGTTGGGAGTTTTCCTCAATGTGTGTCCTATCCACTTTCAGCACTTCTTCCTAATTTCTTCCTCCGCTGGGATCTGGTTTGTTCTCTTCTATAGTAGGTTGTTTGTGATAGTGTTTGGTCAACGGATACGAAGTATTTTGTGCGGACGACTGTTAATAAACATCTGAATATTCTGGATGATGCCTTTCGTAGTTCTCCAAGTTTCTGCCCCATACAGTAGAACTGCTTTGACATTTGTATTGGAAATCCTGACTTTGGTGTTGGTTGACAGTTGCTTTGAGTTCCAGATGCTCCTCAGTTGTAAATATGCTGCTCTTGCTTTGCCGATCCGCGCCTTCACATCTGCATCAGATCCATCATGTTCATCAATGATGCTACCCAAATATGTAAATGTTTTTACATCTTCCAAATCTTCTCCGTCAATTGTGATTGGATTGGTGCATGCTGTGTTGTATCAGAGAATCCTGCTTTTCCCTTTGTGTATATTGAGACCTACTGCTGCTGAGGCTGCTGCCACACTGTTTGTCTTCTCCTGCATCTGTTGTTGCGTTTGGGATAGAAGGGCCAGATCATCTGCGAAGTCCAGATCGTCCAACTGCATCCTAGATGTCCATTGTCTCCCGCGCTTCCCTTCAGATGTTGACGTCTTCATGATCCAGTCGGTCACCAGGAGAAAGAGAAAGGGTGAGAGTAAGCATCGATGAATATTTGTGTAAATTATCAAATACTATAAAGTTAGGACAAGATTCAATAATAATAAACTTTCAAATAGAAATGAACCATTTTCTTTTATCATATTTAATTGTTAAATCTAATTCAAATAATCATAGATAACTTATCAGATGAATACTGATATGTATATTTAATGTGTATTGTATCATGGATACCTCAATGATTTGATGGATCCATTTCGATCAAGGTCATTAGTTATAGACGGTTCAACTAATATGACTATCGATAATAATTTATCATAAAAATCAACAAATGCTACTACAGATACCATCTTAGATAAGTCTATTGAAATTACTTTATTCTAATTGGTGATTTAAATGATCCAAACAAAACACAGCGTTCATACATAAATTATAATATTCAATTATTATTATTACACTAAATAGCATTTCTTTTCTTTTACTCTTATAATCATGACAAATAAATTGAATGTTAAGTAAGTAGTATATTTTAATCAAAATAAATTTATTAATTTAATAGTTGAATTCATAAGTCAATTGAAATTGAACTATGATGGCAAACCTGGAAACATTGGGCGGTTGTTTCGTCCTAGTAGGAGACACCTCAACAGTGCATATTGACAATCCCGACTCGCGAGATTTGAATCCAGGACCTGTCGGTCTCGTCGACGAGCGCTCAACCACTAGCATATAGAGCCGGTATACAACGGTGTTAATATTTAACCTTCTCTCGTTTTAATCATTATATGCTCATTAGTGACGGTCTCCACAACGTATTTCCAGGAGTTGTAGTGAGAAGCCATGATCAGTGGAATTCAACCAGATCTGTTGTGAGATAATAACTCACTGAAGACAATAGTGGATGTGTCTCTCAATTTCGTGGATAGATTGAAGTTAGACATGAACACTGTTGAATGCTGGCTTAGTGGTCTATTGGTTAAGTGTTCACGCCCGCGATTGATATGTCCTGGGTTCGAATCTCGTGAGGTGGGGTCGTGGATACACACCATTGAGGAATCCTATACTAGGACGAAATGGACATCCGGTGTTTCCACCTTTTTGCATACTGATCTATCTTCAATTAATTCATGACTTCATCTAATAAATTCCTGTATTATCCTCAAAAATCCTTCTCTGATTATAATTCAATTGATATTTGTTTATATATTTTCTTATAGATCTATTATCATTCATCTACAATCATATTTCATCATTTGCTCCTATTTTGTCGGATCATTATCATTAGTAATAAACTCTTCAATAAATCAATTAGTTACTGGGCTATCAATTAATTATACCTTTGAAAATGATTCCTTTAAACAAGTAATAAATAATCAATAAATAATCGATAATGTTTTTTTCCTATAAAAAAAAATTTTAGTTAAAACATTCTCATTATCTACAACTGATACAATTCAATCAATTGAATTCAATTCAATTAATGAATAGTGAAAAAATTCTATTAACATCAGATATACCATTGGTAAATTGTACTTTGTATAATGATGAATTCAATACAGCATTTAGATACCATGTTTCCAATTAAATTTTATGGTGAATATTATAAAACAGTTAGAATATTATCAAACGGTTAGTAACATCAGTTTATTTCCTGGGGTGGGGTGGGGTATATGTTTTGTTTCATTATCATTGTGTTAACTGTTTATTCATTGAATTTATTTCATGTTTAGTTAAGAATGTGATATAATTAAATGGATTCTATGAATGAATTTCATTGAATGTAACGAAGATCCATCTCTTTTCTATTTATACATTACGACTGATACTTATATGTATTACAGAGAAAATATTCATCTTATAGTATGTAAAGAGTTTGAATTATATTTTTTCTTATTATGAAATCATACGGTGACGCAATTTTGTGGATTGGTTAAGGTTAGACATGAACGCTGTTGAATGCCAGCTGGCTCAGTGGTCTAATGGTTAAGCGTTCACGCGCGAGACTGTTAGGTACTGGGTTCGACTCTCGTGTAGTGTGGTCGTGGATGTACACTATTGAGGAGTTCTATAATAGAACGAAACGGCAACCCAGTGCTTCCAGGTTTTCTATGGTGGTCTAGCATCAATTGACACATGATTTCAACGATTGAAATTATAATATATTTTAAATTGAGATTGTACTTATCAGTCAGTGGATTATGAAATCTCTTTAGGGAATGATGACAATATTCTGTTGCTAAATAGAAAAGGCTCTTGTAGGCATGAAATTGTATTCCCAATGTAGTCATTTATAAGGACTGATAGGTCCTAGGTTCGAAACTCGCGGGGCGGATTAATGGTTGTGGAATGCTAAAGAGTCTCATACTGGAATGAAATGGCGGTTCACTGCTTCCAGGTTTTCCATGGTGATCTAGTTTCAATTGACTCATGAATTTGACTAATGAATTAGATATAAGTCATTTTATCATTATCGCTACTCAGTTGATGAGCTAATTATACATTATGAGTTTTAAGTTTTGGTGATCAGACTTGATTGTTGCAATGTGTATCAACACTATGTAATTATATATGATACTAAATACAATCTCAATGCATAAGGCTATACTTTATTTTTATCAGAATGTGTTTTGTGGAGATTTTTAGAAATTTTCACAGATTGAAATCATGAGTCAGTTCAAAACACATTCTGATAATAATAATCAACTGCTCACTAGTGACTGACTTCAGGAGACACTTCTGGAGTTCTAGTGAGAAGTCGTTACCAGTGGAGTTCAACCAGGTCTGTTGTGAGATAGGAACTCACTGAAGACAATGGTGTACGGTAGCGCAACTTCGTGGATTGGTTGAAGTTAGACATTAACACCGTTGGATGCCGGCTCAGTGGTCTAATGATTAAGTGCTCGCGCGCGAAGCCAGTAGGTCCTGGGTTCGAGCCCCGGGTGGTACGGGTTCGTGGATGCGCACTGCTGAGGAGTCCTATGCTTTGTTTCTTTTTTTTCTATATGAGCCTTGTATTCTCTTAGTAATTCTTTTATACAGAGAATAGATCATATTCGTTGAGACTTATTTATTGTAACAACGAATTGTAAAACGTCCTTAACCAAAAGTCGTTTTATAATATAAATAATCACATAAACATCTGAGAATAACTGAATATTCGATATTATGAACAGCTTAGATCTAACATTCAGATAAGTACTTATATATATATATATGTATTGCGAATCATAAGATTCTTCTACAGTTTTGATAGAGTTTTGTTCTCTGAGCTGGATGGTTTGATTGTGGAGCTTTCATCGTTCCATCCAGCTCATAGAACAAAACTCCATCAAAATCACTCACTTGAATTAAAAATCTCCTCTCCACCATTCTTTTATGGTATGTGGTTACCGACTCTCATACACAACCCTCCTCCTTTACCTTGGTTTAAGACTGGCAGTAACTTTAGAAGAGCTATAGACTGAGTTATATTCACCTAGTATTCATTGTTACTTATTACTTACAAATAATTCTTCTGAAATATTCAATGAAACGTATTATAAATTAAAATGTCTTAAGCATTCAAACGGATCTAACCAAATGAAATTTGCTTAATTAATAAAACGTGTCACCAGATGACTTGTCAACTTATAAAGTTAAAGAAATACCTTCATTATTATTATTATTTAACATGATTATCATAGTATTTCATAGTGAAAATAGTTTTAGTTAACTTCAAAAACAAAAACAAAACAAACAAACAATGGTGCTAGTGGTAAACTAAACTATTGAATTTATTTGTAACCAGTTGCCAAACTTAGTTGGTATAAACAAAGATGGATATTGGCTAACAGTGGAATCTAGGACGCACGTTTCGTCCTATTTGAGACTCGTCAGCTGGATGTACCTACATCTAAGTCACTATCCATCTTTGCTTATGAAGCTTGGGAAGTAAGGCAATATCGAGGCATACGCACAATATGCACATATGTCAATAACAGACTGATCAATTGCAGTCTTAAATCTAAATGGGAAGATTCAAGCAAAACAATATCAAGTGAATGTAGTTGGTGTAAATTTTAAAATGAATAGTTTTTTCTTACTACATGAAAGCTAATATAACTCTTAGATAGTTGAATCATTTTCAGTTCAATATTAGACTAGCATTGAAAACATGGAAGCATTGAATGACTGTTTCATCCTAGAATGGGACTTTAAAACAGTGAGCATTTATGATCACACATATGGGAATTGAACTCAGGACCTTTGTTTTGGAACGTGAGAATTCTAACTCTAAACCAGTGAACCGAAATCAAACAGTGTTAATGTTTAACTCGAATCAGTGCATGACTTTGAATGACCATCTTCCATTGTTATCAGTAAGTAACTGTTTGAGTGCGCTTCGGAGACCCATATTAAGATCAAATGTCCATCCAGCGCTTACAGGTTATCGATGGTGATTCTTATTGACCTTTATGAATAAAGGATTGAACTAGACTGAAAAAAAGTTGTATAAACTGAAGAACTGATTCATTCAACTATCAGTCTATTCTTAATCAATAGTCAGTCTTAAATTCTTGTGCTTCATTAAAATTACGAATCATTTTGATAGCTTCCACTGAACTATTTCCAGCACATACAACAGTTTGTTAAACCACCATTGTAAACCAGGAAGTATTGGACGGTCGTTTCGTTCTATTGTGGGACTTCTCAACAGTGCGTATCCACAATCTTGCTCGCGGGATTCGAACCTCTAGAGCCTTCAGTCTCGAGCGCGAGAGCTAAACAACTAGATCACTGAGCCAGCATCCAATGGTGTTAATGTCTAACTTTAACCAATCCATAAAATTACGCGACCATCTTCGATTGTATTGAGGTAGATACCTGTCTCTACCCGACATGGATTATCTATTTCTAACACATACAACACATTTATTAAACATTAGGAATTATTTATTTATTTTGTTTTACATTAATTCAAGGTATTATAAACATTGTGGAGCCAAATTTTGGAAAATTATCTGGAAGCATTAAAGTATTTTATGGAGTTTGGAAAACGGGTCAAGTGGATATTATTCATAATGGTGAGTTATTCTACTATTGAAAGTTTAATTAGTTTAGAATAACTTTAGTCATCGGATATCAGTCAGTCAGTCAGTCAGCCTCGTGAGATTTGAATCCAGGACATATCAGCCGCGGGCATGAACGATTAACCACTAGACCACTAAGTCGGCCATCATCCAACAGTGTTCATGTCTAACTTCAAACAATCCACGAAATTGAGCGACACATCCACCATTGTCTTCAGTGAGTTACTATCTCACAACAGTTGACTAATGATCTCAACTATTAAAATTACTATAATATCCACAAAACCCCTTCTAATATTAATTTCTTTCTTAAATGAATTACTAATAATCCGATTCAATTTTATTGCATTTATAGATAAGTTTCTAACGGTAAGATGGCCTAATCTTAACATTTTCAATGCACATGGAAAAGAAATGGAAGAACGTGGTATGTAATATTCTTGGGTACACTTTATATATATATACATGGTGTGTGTGTTTATGTGTGTTATGAGTATGATGTGAAAGTTTCAACCTACTTGGCACTTCTTAGCAGGCTTGTCCGAAATGTTGAAGATAATGACAATTTGAATCAATGATAACCAATTTGACTATTTAATGTATTGACTAATATCTATATATTTCAATCGGGTCACTTGTGAGATAGTAACTCACTGATGACAATGGTGAATGTGTCTCTTAATTTCGTGGATTAGTTGAAGTTGAATATTAACACCGTTAGATGCCGGATCAGTGGTCTAGTTGGTTAAATGCCTGACGCGATACTGATAGGTCCTGGGTTCGGATCTCGCAAGGCGGGTTCTTGGATGAGCACTGCTGAGGAGGAGTCTCACTATAGGAAGAAACGGCCATCCAGTGCTTCCAGGTTTTTCATAGTGGTCTAGCTTCAATTGACTCATGATTTCAACCAGTAAAATTACTACAGTCACCACAAAATCTCTTCTGATATATTTTTCTGTATTGAATAAACCCTTTATATAACTGAAATATTTTACACTGAATAATGACTACCTGAGTAACACTTCAGGTCTCATTTTTGTCTAGTTCATATTACCGACTGAATTCTATCAATCAGTTTTATAATTTGGTTACTAGTCTATATGACCGGATAATCGTACGCCAAAATAGTTAACTAAAATATTCTAGAAAATATTTCTATTATATATTCACTTCAGTTATAGGCTAAATAAGTATCATATTGATTTGAATGCTTGGAATGCTCTATTATTATGAATATGACTTGAAAGATTCAAATAGAATACCCATGAAAATAATGAATGAAATGAGAAGATATTAACTATACAATGAACTGATGACTTCCGATTATTGTTATGACATATAACCTAGTAATGATAATAAGAACACAACTAATAAACTTTTAACATTGTCACAGACTGAAATCATGAGTCAGTTGAAGCTAGACCACCATTGAAAACCTTGAAGCACTGGACGGCCGTTTCGTCCTAGTATGGGACTCCTCAGCAGTGCGCATCCATGATCCTGCACCACGCGGGGCTCGAACCCAGGACCTACTGGCTTCGCACGCGAGCACTAGACCACTGAGCCGGCATCCAACGGTGTTAATGGTGGTCTAGCTTCAACTGACTCATTATTTCAATCTGTGAAATTTCTAAAATCTCCACAAAACCCATTCTGATTTTAACATTGTGCCAAATTAATGATTTGTTAACTAAGGATATAAGAAGCCTAGAGTCTTTATTGGTCATGCTCTTACTCATACTCTACCTGTTGAATCCAAAATAGTGATTATCAGCTTCTATTATATGAATCATATAATTCAGTTATACTTTGATTATAGACAAGCAAACCTGAATATATCATACTATAATGTAATATAACAATTATAATAGGATCAAGACAAAAAGTGACTATGTATGTGAGATACTGTAACTAATAAATTGGAAATAACTAAAGAATAGTAAATCGTATAATAGGAGTCAACGGGTCAAATGGAAGCTTATAATAAAAGGAATCTATATATAATCTAGTTACTGAACAGTGATACAATAAGAATTTATTTCACTGTATTATACTTCTTGAATAACATCTTCAAGCCCTACTGTTTCCGATTACTGCTTATACTTTTATTACCTCTAGCACTACGGGATTTGAATCGACAACTGAATCTCTGTGCTAATGTGGTGTGACAACTCGAACTGATGTACGTACGTACAAAGTTCTTCATTGTTACTGACTGACAATAAAAATATACATGTATGATAACAGTCCATAAACAGATCCCAAAACTACCCATAATTTAATTTTTGTTAGAATATAACAGTTATTAGTAGTTATATATTTATCTATTTTGAACACACAGATATTGGTACAAGGGGGCATCATACACATATGCACCACACAAATCTCATTTGCTTTGTGTAAGGACTGTGATACTGCCGGGGTGCCCAAACCGAAGCAGAGTTATAAGTAGTGATATATCAATTTTTTTTATAATTTTCAGCACAAATGACATGCACAATACATGTTAATGGGAACATATCGATTTTCTTTGAAACAGTAAGTTGACTAATTATTGAAATATTCTATTTCCTTTAATAAGAATCATTTACCACAATTTTCTGCAAAATTTAAGCTTGACAATAACATTGATGTGTGACAGAGTTATCAGAATGGGGATTTTAGTAATTTAATAATTGAATTTATGAGTGATCATGGAAAACCTAGAAACACTGAACGACCGTCTGGTCCTGGTGTGGAAATCCTCAGCAGTGCGCATCCACGTTCCCGCTCGCGGGATTCGAACTCAAGACCTATCGGTCTCGTGCGCGAAAGCTTAGACTCTAGACCAGTGATCCAGTATTCAACAGTGTTAATGTCTAACTTCAATTAATGCACGAAATTGAGCTACTGTTCATCTTTGTCTTCAGTAAGTTACTATCTCACAATAGAGCTGGTTGACCTCCATGGATTACGGCTTCTCACTAGAACTCCTGTAAATGCCTCTGCTAAACGTTCAGTAATATTAACTTCACTGGGTATTGTTAACTTGACTCTTCCACCGCTATCCACCATCCATCTTTGCTTATAATGATTGTGACTTAAGGTAATATCGAGGCAGTCCGCACAGGATGCACATATGCTAACGAAAAACTGGTCAAAAGCAGTCCTAAATAACAGTGGAAAGATTCAAGTAAACAATACCAAGTGAATTTGAAAGTTCAGTCCCAAAACACAAGCAAGTGGCTATCAAGACTCAGTAGCTAAGTAGACAGAGTTTAAAGTAAACGATACTGGGTTCGAGTTGCACAGTGTACATCAACTCTGAGATGCAGGTACATCCAGTTGACGAGTTCCAGGTAGGACGAAACGCGAGTCAAACTGGATTCCACTGCTAACCATTATCCATCATTGCTTAGAATAATAATAATAATTATTGATTAATAGTTATGAATATAATTATAAGTTAGTAGGAAGAATAGAATAAAATTAAAATGATAGATCATATGATATAGAAAAAGAGACTAAGAACATGGAAAATGAGTAACTAACCATAGTGTAATGAGATAGACGTTTTATGCATATTATAATAATTTAGTGGTTAAATTCATGAGTCGATTAAAGCTAGATCACCATAGAAAACCTGGAAGCACTGTATTGTTATTTCGTTCTAGTATATGATTCCTCAACAATGCGCAACCACGAGCATAGTATGTTTGTACTCAAAAGGTAGGGTTAAAATGTTGGTTATCAATAACCTCTTATGTACATAAGTTTTTCACTTACATTCCTATTGAGCCAATTCTTCTGATTGTATATAATAATTTTGATGGAGGCTTCTGATGTAGTGAAGTAATAAGTTTCACTGGTTGAAATCATCAGTCAATTGAAACTAGACTAACATGGAAAACCTGAAAGCACTGGACGGCCGTTTCGTCTTAGTATAGGACTCCTCCTCAGCAGTGTGCATTCACGATCTTGCCCCCTACGAGATTCAAACTCAGGACCTACTGGTTTCAGGCGCAAGCACTTAACCACTAGACCACAACCAATCCACGAAGTAATAAGATAAAAATCATTGTCCTTTTTATCACTATAAACAACAGAATAATAAAAAGTGTTACAATAATTACCAATTCATAATCCTATGAAGATAATTGTAAAAGTGTTAAAAAAAAGATAAAACAAACAAAAATAATAAACTGTAAACTGGTACAATAAATAAAAGAAAAAACGAAAAAACTTTTTTATTGTTTTGGCAAACTTATAATGAATGTCACTCGCATACTTACTTACCTACGCCTGTCATTCCTAATGGAGCATAGGCTGCCGACCAGCATTCTCCAACCCATTCTGTCCTGGGCCTTCTTTTCTCGTTCCATAATGAATGTCACTATTGTTTATTTATTTATTTGCTTTTTATTACTAAAAGTTAATTAACATCTAATGACAGTTATAAACTGTAATTAAAATCAAGCAGCTTAGTTCAATGAATTTAGGTTATCATGTATCATATTATGCTCATAATACATAAACAATAAACAATAATATATGGAGTGTATTAATGAATATAAATTCTTTAACATCATGAACTAATTGACGTTAGACCATCATTGAAAACCTGAAAACATTGAGCGGCTGTTTCGTCTTCGTATGGGGCCCCTCATCAGTGTGCATCCACGATCCCACCTGGCGAGATTGGAACCCAAAGGTCTTCGGTCTCGCGTACTCGTTAATGACTAGCTTCGTGTAGGAGTTCTTGGAGTTTTAGTGAGAAGCTGTGATTAGTAGAGTTCAACCGAGTCTGTTGTGAGATAGTATATCACTGAAGACAATAATGGACGGTGATGCAATTTCGTGGAATGATTCAAGTTAGACATTAACACCGTTGGATGCTGGCTCAATAGTATCAAGGTTAGGCGAACGCGAGGGAGACTGATAGGTCCTGGGTTCGAATCTCGCGAAACAGGATCGTGGACGTGCATTGCTGAGGAGTTCTATATTAGGACGAAATGGCCGACAATTGCTTCTAGGTTTACCATGGTGGTCTAGCTTAAATCGATTCATGAATCCAACCATGAAAATGAAATGTTCTATACGGTCAGGGTTAAACATATTTCCAATTAACCGTTGTAAAACGCATTATTTTCTATTTTAATGGTTTAAACTAATTTTACTATGTCACTAATCATTCATTTGTGTTAAAATTTTCAGTTATTAATTCATTTCTTATAATTCATTGTTTATATATTGCTATTTATCAGATACCGAATGGAACATTTAATGAAACAGAAGAATCTATGCCTGGAAGTACTATATATTATCCAACGAAAATTCAAAGTATGTTGAATGTCATATAAGAGAATCAATGAAATATTGATGATAATTTTATTCAATCCTTTATGTTAAATCCATTAGAGAACACTAAGTAGATGAAATCTGAAAAAAGGTTCTTCGAAATCTTTATATTTATATATGTATACAATATCAAAGTGAGGATCTTCAATACGAACGTCAAGGCAGTTCTACTGTACTGAGCTGAAACTTGGAGAACTACTACAACCACCATCAAGAAGGTACAAGTATTTATAAATAGTTGTCTACGCAAGATACACAACATTCATTGGCCGGATACCATCAGTAACAGCCTACTTTGGGAGAGAACAAACCGATTTCCAACTGAAAAGGAAATTAGGGAAAAACGATGGAAATGGATAGGATATACATTACGCAAATCATCAAACTGCATCACGAGGTAAGCTCTAACTTGGAATCCTGAAGGGAAGCGGTAAAGTGTAAGGCCAAAGAACACATTACGTCGGGAAATAGAATCAGATATGAAAAGAATGAATCACAACTTGAAAGAGCTGGAAAGTATTGCCCAGGACAAGGTTGGATAGGGAATACTGGTGGGTGGTTTATGCTCCTTCATGAGGAGTAACAGGTGTAAGTAAGTAAGTAATAAAAGCTAGGAGTCATTTTCGAAGGATTGGAGAATAAAATTTACATGGTAATGTTTAATTGTTGTTTTAGGACTGTAATTGATCAGTTACGATACTCGTCAGTTAATAGTATTTGATCACAGATGCCTTAGAAATAGTGCTGGCGTCTGCTGGGATCGCCGGGTAAGTAATAGTGAGATTCAACAAAGGCTATTAGGGAATGATGGTAAATTAGTTGATGAGGTTGTAAATCCTCATCGACTGAGATGGTTCAGCCACGTGTTACGTATGCCCGAACACCGATTACCACGACGTGCAATGCTAACCGGTGCTGGAGGTGTTTGGAAGAAAGTTAGGGGCGGCCAAACCAAAACGTGGCATCAGTGCTTGAAGTCACTAACTTCTAGTCTGAGCCATGTTGGTCGATGCAGACTACTTGGTTGGAGTCCACGCGACTTCCGTAACCAATGGTTGGAGACTGTGGGTGACATGGCTCAGGATCGATCACAATGGCTTTGGTGTATACACTCTCTATCTTCCCTTAAACTAAGAGATTAAAATTGCTTCATATCTTTCTTTCTACGAACTAATTATTTCTTCCCGTACAGTGTCCTTATATGCAATCCTTCTCCTATATATTACCACCTCTGAATTAACTACTTTTATAAATCCGGTGTTAATTTTGTTGTGTTAATGAGGTATGGAAACTTGGGCCGATGCATATATGTGCCTGGTCCTACGTTGTAGCTGACTGACTGACTGAGTTAGATGATATTTCATAGGATCATTCTTAAATTAATCAAGATCACTCTTATACTTTAGTTCTACCTAATTTTATTTGTGTCTTATTATATCAGATGGTATCTTACAGGAAATGAAAGACTTGACTATGATTACTTTACTTACTTACACACATCTGTTACTCCTCTTTGAAGAGTATAGGCCACCTATAAGCACTCTACATTCAAGTCTGTCCTGTACCGCCTACCACCAATTTGTTTGATGCACACATGATAGTTGCTAAAATTACCTAGTGATGATAAGCAAAGATATACTCAAACTATGAAAATTTGTTTATTCATTCTTCACAATTGAATATTCAACTACAAGTTTTAAAGTGATTTACATTTCCTGGTGAATTCCTTCTTTAAACTGTAGTAATTCATATTCATATTCATATTATTGTGCTTGTTTGACTTTTTTTTATAGATAATGCCTATTCACCTCATTACAAAAACACTGCGATAAAAGTTCCTGCATTCTTGATAAAGTCGAACACCTTAATGGAGTTTATACCAGATCCAAGTAGGTGGAGTTAAAACGAATTATTGATTTTTAATTATGTGATTATAGCTTCGTTTTTATCACTAGGTGAACAAAATCTAATTGATTTTCTTATTCGTTGAAATGTCTATTAAGATTAAGTTTGCATCATTGATGTAAGGATGTATGTAACTCGTAAACGTGCTCCATGGTTTAGTTCTGATTTCTTCATCTTCTTCTTCATATCCCGTTACAATAAATGAATTCTTGTTTCACAATTAATCCATTTAAATATCGAACTGTTAATCTCAACCTGATACATGAATAGTACTTAAGCACCTTGTTGGAATCACATAGACTTTGTATCATTAGAGATGATGTAGTAAAAACAGCGTCAAAGGTCTTCTCATATTTTATTGTTATCGAAGAAAATTTTCCATACGACTTACTACATAAAAAGGCTGCATAATTTTGGGATTATTTGACATTTACCTTAACGATTTGTCGATTCTTGAATATTACCCATTATACTTTACTGTTCTCCATTATCCTTTCTCGGGTTTTTAAGATAAGATTTATCTGTATTGTGAAGAGTGCTAAAGGCATTTAACAAGGTGCATCGCAATTCTTTTGAGGTCATTAATAATATAGTTGTGGATAGACATCTAAAATTTTGACAACTGCTAGCAGGTGTTATCAGATACCAACCCTCAACTTCACTTATGTCTTTCTTTATGTATATCTTCTAGTAGAAGAACGAGATGTCAATACATTAGAATCCATGCACGCAAGCTAAAGTATAAAACTTCTACAATACTTTATGTTGCAAAGACACGACGTGTAGAACAGGTTGTAAGAGTTGACCTAGACAATAGTCTTTATTCTCAAACATGTTTCTAATTAAAAGTTGTACAGACTTTTGCCTTATTAAAATAACGTTTAATTGTAGACAGCTCATTCACTTACTTCATATACACATGTATGTAATTATCGACTATTTGAATCATTTTTGTAAAAGAAATTTGAACTAATGTGTGCTGAGGGTTTCATATCGTGATAAACATAATACTGGAATTTGTTAGTAATAATAACCCTAATACCACTACTGTAGGGAATGAGAACAGAAGTGGATTACAGAATTTCTTGGTCAAATCTGAGAACCATACAGTAAATACTTCATTTGCAAAATATTCATCAATTATATCAGAATCGGTTGTTCCTTCGATTCCATTCCAATTACTCTCTGTTCTCCTTCTCTTCTCAATTTCCTCAACTTTCTGCCTCCAAGCATTCCACTCTCTATTGGTGATACATACTACTTATATCTGTTAACATCAGTAGCACAAACCATACTACTGTTACTGATGGTAATAATAATAATAATAATTATTATTATTATTATTATTATTATTATTATGAAAAGTAGTTTTGCATGTTATTATTTTTATTATTTAAACACATAAATATTAGTACAAGGAGGCGCCAAGTAGATATGCGCCACACAAATCTCATTCGACATGTGTGAGGGCTGTGATACTCCCCGGGTGCCCAAACCGTAGCAGGTGGTTGTCTTAAGGGGCCACTCCCCGAGCCTTCGACCTGAAGGTCTGATCCACAAGGTGGTGGAACATCGTAAGGAGATGTAGTCCCATGGAAGCCGGTGACCAACAATTGGTTCATATGCCATTTGTTCCCGCAGGATACTGGAGCCCATGTGCACCATTGATTTGGTTTGGAATCCAATTAAAGCACCGGACATTCGCTTTTCGTCCTCTCATTTTCGTAAACAACAGTAGTGCCACGAGAAGGCAATGAGTATGACTTCCCTGGCAGAGGCTATATACGCGTGGCCATGTGAGAGCATTTCGAGAGGGAGAACGGACTCTCCCCACTCTCGGCCGTACCAGGCCATTCGGGAGCAGTTTTGCATCTAACTGTACATGATCCGAAAACCTTATTGGTACAGAAATGTCAATTATCAACAATACTGTCAATAATTAACTGTGATCACTCTATTTAACCTTGTTTTTATTCCATCCATATTTTTTACAGTCACATAAATATTGCATCAAATAAGATAGAAACATACTTTTATGAGGTATTCAAATTAGGTTTGGAAAATTTAAGATTTTAATAATGTCAGTAATTGTCTTATAAGTATTGCGTTGTGGAGATTAATGAGTTTAGATTGATATCACGAATGGATCAATGTTAGACTGCCACTGAAAACCTAGAAGCACTGGGCGACTGTTTCGTCGTATTATAGGACTCCTCAGCACTGTGTATCCACGATCCCGCACACAGTTCTCGAACCCGAGACGTTTGGTCTCGCGCGTGAACGCCTAATTAACGATACTTAAACAATAATAATGATAATGAATAAAAATTACAAATTGGTTGTTATGGCTGTGAGTCAGAAATTGGACAAAGAGTTTAGTAATATCACTTTATCCACAATTTGATCACAAGACAGTTCTACTCTACGGAGCGGGAACGTGCAGTACTACCACAATCATTATCAAAACAGTACAGGTACTTCTAGACAACTTTCTACACACGATACTCAATGTCCGTTGACTGGATATCATCAGCAACAGTTTACTGTTGTAGAGAACAAACCAGCTTCCATTTGAATTAGAAATTAAGAAAAGACGTTGGAAGTGGATAGGACATACACTACGGAAATCACTAAACTGCATCACGAGGCAAGCGTTAACTTGGAATCATGAAGGAAAACGACAAAGAGGTAGGCCAGTGAACACACGGTGATGAGAATTTGAAGCATGTATGAAAAGGATGAATAGGAACTGGGAAGGATTTTTCAGTACAGAGTTGGTTGGAGAATGCTAGTGGGCATGCCGGATAATAGGCGTAAGTATTTCAGTGAGTATTGTCGCTAGGTCTAAAATTATGTGATACTTCCACAAGTTTCAATAAACTTAACACAAAAATTCACTTTAAAAGCCTGATTTACCATAAAACAAACGGCTTTATCCCTGTATTTAACAAGGTCGAACAACTTAAAACAACCATTGTAAACTGCCGCAATCGATATATCAATACAACTAAATGGCTATTTCTAAGAATATAAATCTCAACTATTGGATCTGTTGCGAAACAATGATATAGTGCTGGGTCACCCAAATAAAGGTGCCGTGATTGTCATCGTGAATCGAAATAACTATGTTTTGAGAGTATTTTGTATTCTCTCTTATACCAACAAATTCCTAAAAGAAAAAGTCCAAAAAGTTACTTCAAGTCAAAGTGAACAGAAAATAACAAAAATCTTTTAGGAAGTAAACAACAAATCAATTACCAATGGAAACTTCAATGAAAAACCTAGACCAACTGGATTCATTATTCCACGACTATCTGGCCTACCTAATGTACATAAGAAAGATATCCCTCTACGTCCTGTACTAGATATGAGTAACTCGCCATATCATGTCATCACCAAATAGCTAGCTGGAATTCTTCGATCAGTCAGAAATCAACTAAATAGATACACCACTGGTGATTTGTTTGATGCACTATCAAGTGGTAATGTAACCGGAAGCAAAATGACGTCACTAGATATACCCTCTATTTTTACAAATGTACCTCCAACGGAAATAAACTGCCTACTATGTGCTTATATTGAAAACAACAGACTCGATATCGGTGTACATTATTTAAAGGAAATACTACTCCGATGCACTCTTGACGTTCAATTTAAATTTGACAATGAGTTCTATAGACAAACTGACGGCATAGCGATAGGGTCACTGCTCGAGCCACTTTTAGCTGACCATTTTATAGCTAATCTCTAAAACACTATACTAAGGTCATCACTTGACAGCTTCTGTCTATACAAGGATTACTAAGACGACACGTTTGTGACAAAAATATCAATGTCAACGACATCGTGGATGTATTTATTAACTGTCATTAACTAATTAAGTTCACGACTGAGTCAGAGTCGGATTCAGATTTCCACTTCTTAAATGTTTTGGTTAAAAGATTTGACGGTTCTCTGCAAAGATCAAAATAGAGAAAGCCAATATGGAATGGTTAATACATGAATTTTCAAAGTTGGGTCCCACTGGAAGAAAAGAGAAACCTAATCCATTCTCTCTGTATATAGGTTAAACGTATCTGTACCGAAGATACGATCGATATCGAAATTGATAAACTAAGGTAGATACTGATCAATACTGACTATCCACCTAGATTCATTGAAAAAAATCTGAAGTCAAAACAACAACGTGAAAGAGTGTCCACAGCAGCAAAGAAGACTCTCTCCATAAACATCTAGTTTGAAAGTGATACTGCAGCAAAAATTCTGAAAAGTGGACATTCAAGTTGTCTAATGAAAACGATTTAGTCGCCCTGTAATTCGAAATTGTGCGAAGGTTAAACTCTCACTTTGGGCGAAATCAACAAGCAGCTTAATAGCTATTCAATGGAAAATTATTCACAACTTACCACTTTTTCACTAGACGATTACACGATTGTACATTATAAGTAAATGAAATTGGTGAAAAAGAGATTTTATTCAGCGAACAGTCTTCTTATTCATTCAGTAGCACAATACTCTATCTCATGTAAAATCGTATAAACAATTTAATATTAAACTACATATTGTGAATGAATATAATATTTAGGTTATATAGGCGAATAAAACAATGATGATATTAATTAAACTCAATATAAGAATATTTAAAAATAAACAGAAATTAGATAATAATCAACATATTCTCACTGGTGACTGACTTCAAAATGTATATCCTGGAGTTCTAGTGAGCAGCAATGACCAGTGGAGTTCAACCAGGTCTTTTGTGAGACGGTAGCTCACTGGAGACAATGGTAGATGTGTCGATCAATTTCGTGGATTAGTTGAAGTTAGACATTAACACCATTGCATGCCTGCCAGCTCAGTGGTCTAATGGTTAAGCTCTCGCGCACGAAATTGATAGGTACTGGGTTCGAATCTCGAGAGACAGGATCATAAACACGCACATCTGAGGAGTCCCACAATGGGAAGAAACGGCCGTCCAGTACTTTCAGGTTTTCTTAGGCAATCTATCTTCGATTGACTCATGAGCTCAACTATTGAACAGATAAAATGAAATTGAAAAAAATAATAAAAAACAAGAAAAAAAAAATCAAAAAATCCATCAAAAACAAAAAAATAATTCACATGTAAAACATTATAAGAATTAAAGTTCCATTAAACACCTATTGACAAAGTACCAGTTTAAAAGAACTGCAAGGTCTCGTAAATAGTTCATATAGTTTAGATTGACACTATTGTAATAAGTGTTCTCAAAGAAAAATCCCTTATCAACACATCTAATTTTTTTTTCATGTTCAAGTTTGCTCTGATCAAACATCATGCGGTGAATGCCTCAAACCAGGTGCATTCGCTACAAAATGTTATTGGTGTCCAAGAACAAGAAAGTGTACTAATACTCATGATAGTTATGCGAGAATGTGGAAGAAAGGAGAGTGTCAAATACAGGTAAGAGATTCGACTTTTACTCTATTGTACCATTAAGTATTATGTTATTCTTTGAAATTAGTTTCGTCACATTGTTAGCCTATAATTGGTTCTATTGGAATACGAATAACTTACTGACTCTATAAAATTTTATGTGTCTATACTTTGTATCAGTGTTTATAGAAAATCTTCGTTGTTTCACTTCAATATCCTTTAAAACAAGGAATCTGTGTAACTTTCTCCTTTTTAAGGCTAAATTGGTATAACTTTTCACTCAATTTCATCATAGAGATCATTTATATTTCCACAAAACAACCATATTTGTAATATTTACTGACTAGCTTAGAAATATCAGTAGAAAATAATTGGCGTGCACACAATAGTGTGATTAAAAAATTGGCGGATAAATCTAGGAAGAACTGTACGCACATAAAAGTTGACGGAGAGAAAGACACGATTTATCAACTTTGGGTAAACCTCATAGTCGTCGTGTACTCCATCCAGTTGATTTGAGCGAACCATGTAGTTCAGATAAAGAAGTTGACAACGTTTAGGTGCTTCAAAATGCTTGTAAGCATACTGTGATATCTTGAAACCTGCTAACTAATATCATGTGGAGAGTCACTAATCAGAATGCTACTTCTAAATTGATCTGTTATCTACTCTATAGATTGGTGTCTCTGACTCCAACTATTGTAAGCCCGACCAGCACTAATGACTTTGACACGTTGATTGCCTTTCTATCGATCGAGCAACTTCCACCACGTTTCTAGACCACATTCTCAGCACATACACCACAATCAAGTTATATTTACAGTCAGTCAGTCAGCTACAACGTAGGACCAGGCACATATGTGCATCGATCCAGGTTGCCATACCGCATCAGCACAACAAGATGAGCACCGGATTCATAGCAGTGGTTATGTCAAATGTGGTAATATATAAGAGAAAGATTGCATATAGAGATATAGTACAAGAAGAAAGAATTGGTTCGTAGAAAGAAAGATATGAAGTGATTTTAATCTCTTAGTTTAAGGGAAGACAGGGAGTGTATACACCGAAGACATTGTGATCGATTCTGAGCCGTGTCACCAAGAGTCTCTAACCATTGGTTACGAAAGTCACGCGGACCCCAACCAAGTAGTCTGCATCTACCAACATGGCTCAGACTAGAAGTTAGTGTCTTCAAGCACTGATGCCACGTTTTGGTTTGGCCGCCCCTAACTTTCTTCCAACCAAAGTTATATTTACAATCATTTTCAATCTCCAATTCTCTGTTTGTTCAGCGGTCAGTCTAGAAACATATTCTACAGTTAACGGACATAATAGCATATCATCTATTCAAATTCCACTTACTACCCAGTGAAATAAAAAGCCTTCTAGAAATCTTCACTAAAGTAGTACTCAAACAGGGGTTCAATACAGAACATGTAGTGGACACGCTACGTTTCCTCACAGATTACAAACATTACTTACGTTCGCCTGTTACTGACAATGAGGCATAGGCCGCCGACCAGCATTACCCAAACCACTTTGTCCTGTGCCTTGCTTTCTAGTTTTATCAAACTCGATAAAAAAACGCTAACCAAAAAAGAAAATAATTCACATTTACCACCATACCAAGTCGTATATTGTTTATTAGCGATGACTCCTTTGAAATGTAAATCATATGGTCACATTGTTTCTTTTTCTAGAATAGTGAAAATTGTACTGTTCAGAACGATATTTTAATTAATCCGATTCGAAATATCATCAGTACAGCAAAATCTTCGATCAGAAGAAATAAACTTACAAATCTCACACAGAAAATTACAAACAACAATTTATCAGAACGTGTACCCAATACAACTACTGTTCAAGTAATTCAAGTTAATAAAACATTGAGTATTCAACTAGGCAATATGTTTTTTATGCTTCAACATGTGATTGATAGTTCGTATATAATCTTATGGATGTTAGCGACTGTATTCATTATTCACTTTATTGCTAAGTATGAAGCTATCATGAAATCCCTTAATCTGCAAAGGAGATGCAAGACTCGGTGACCAAAGATCAGTGCGCTAGCTATTGATGTGTCCCAGCCCCGCTAACTAGAGGGAGACGTCCAAGCTTGGAATGAGAAGTATATTTTGCAAACAGCCAGAAACGAGCGATCACAACAAAGACAATTCAAAACGTATATATACAAATATATATATATAATCGATATTGCCATGGAAGTTTTCTAAACATTTAATCGATAAGTTCGTCAATCGACTATGTGCGTGGGTGGTAATAAATGCCCAAACATACATCTGCATACAAGCTCCACAAAGATAAAATTACAAAACATGAGTTTTGGGGATCTGTCGTCCCCATAACTCCTCCCTTTTTTAATAGCGTACTTTCATGCGGTCAACTTGGATCTTGACTGTTGCTCGCCGATGTCGGAGAGGCCACCTTCTGAAACGGAGATCAGCTTGTTGTTGAGCTTCTTCTCGTGGTGAGGCTGCTGATAAGTTGAAGGTATCAAGCAGGATGTCAAGGGGGAAGATTTACTTCTGTTGATGGGCGGTCTGGGGCTATCCGCTTCCGTAGTTGGTTTCCGTGTCTAGTCCACGTGTCTGTTCCCACCTATACCTCGTACATAACTTGGTCTATTCTTCCAACCACACGTGCTTCGATCCAAGGACCATGATTTGCTCTGTAGTCTCGAGCAAACACCGGGCATCCAGCCTCGTACGCTGGTAGCTTCTGAGATTTGATCTGAGATGGTGTGGTTCTTGATCACATCAGACTGTGGATTGTCCACAAATTCCTTCCCATCAGGATCTCTGCCGAGGACTTCTGCTGTGGTAGCATCATCCTGGTTAGCAAAGTGAAATTTGAATAAGTCTTAGTAACGTCGAAACCACATATCAAACGTGACACTGGAATCCGGATCGTAATGAAACTCGGAGATATTGTTAGCGATACCATCAACTAATGGTGCGGTAGTAGTAGGATTAGAATTACTTGGTTGAGTATTAGACGTAAGCTTTGTATCTGTCAACGTCTAAATGACTTTCATCTGCTGCTCGAGTAATAATTCAAGTTTAGAAGAATCCATGTTTCCGAAACCACATTTACCACCATACCAAGTCGTATATTGTTTATTAGCGATGACTCCTTTGAAATGTAAATCATATGGTCACATTGTTTCTTTTTCTAGAATAGTGAAAATTGTACTGTTCAGAACGATGTTCTAACTACTCCGGTTCAAGATATCATCAGTACAGCAAAATCCTCGATCAGAAGAAATAAACTTACAAATCTCACACAGAAAATTACAAACAACAATTTATCAGAACGTGTACCCAATACAACTACTGTTCAAGTAATTCAAGTTAATAAAACATTGAGTATTCAACTAGGCAATATGTTTTTTATGCTTCAACATGTGATTGATAGTTCGTATATAATCTTATGGATGTTAGCGACTGTATTCATTATTCACTTTATTGCTAAGTATGAAGCTATCATGAAATCCCTTAATCTGCAAAGGAGATGCAAGACTCGGTGACCAAAGATCAGTGCGCTAGCTATTGATGTGTCCCAGCCCCGCTAACTAGAGGGAGACGTCCAAGCTTGGAATGAGAAGTATATTTTGCAAACAGCCAGAAACGAGCGATCACAACAAAGACAATTCAAAACGTATATATACAAATATATATATATAATCGATATTGCCATGGAAGTTTTCTAAACATTTAATCGATAAGTTCGTCAATCGACTATGTGCGTGGGTGGTAATAAATGCCCAAACATACATCTGCATACAAGCTCCACAAAGATAAAATTACAAAACATGAGTTTTGGGGATCTGTCGTCCCCATAACTCCTCCCTTTTTTAATAGCGTACTTTCATGCGGTCAACTTGGATCTTGACTGTTGCTCGCCGATGTCGGAGAGGCCACCTTCTGAAACGGAGATCAGCTTGTTGTTGAGCTTCTTCTCGTGGTGAGGCTGCTGATAAGTTGAAGGTATCAAGCAGGATGTCAAGGGGGAAGATTTACTTCTGTTGATGGGCGGTCTGGGGCTATCCGCTTCCGTAGTTGGTTTCCGTGTCTAGTCCACGTGTCTGTTCCCACCTATACCTCGTACATAACTTGGTCTATTCTTCCAACCACACGTGCTTCGATCCAAGGACCATGATTTGCTCTGTAGTCTCGAGCAAACACCGGGCATCCAGCCTCGTACGCTGGTAGCTTCTGAGATTTGATCTGAGATGGTGTGGTTCTTGATCACATCAGACTGTGGATTGTCCACAAATTCCTTCCCATCAGGATCTCTGCCGAGGACTTCTGCTGTGGTAGCATCATCCTGGTTAGCAAAGTGAAATTTGAATAAGTCTTAGTAACGTCGAAACCACATATCAAACGTGACACTGGAATCCGGATCGTAATGAAACTCGGAGATATTGTTAGCGATACCATCAACTAATGGTGCGGTAGTAGTAGGATTAGAATTACTTGGTTGAGTATTAGACGTAAGCTTTGTATCTGTCAACGTCTAAATGACTTTCATCTGCTGCTCGAGTAATAATTCAAGTTTAGAAGAATCCATGTTTCCGAAACCACATTTACCACCATACCAAGTCGTATATTGTTTATTAGCGATGACTCCTTTGAAATGTAAATCATATGGTCACATTGTTTCTTTTTCTAGAATAGTGAAAATTGTACTGTTCAGAACGATGTTCTAACTACTCCGGTTCAAGATATCATCAGTACAGCAAAATCCTCGATCAGAAGAAATAAACTTACAAATCTCACACAGAAAATTACAAACAACAATTTATCAGAACGTGTACCCAATACAACTACTGTTCAAGTAATTCAAGTTAATAAAACATTGAGTATTCAACTAGGCAATATGTTTTTTATGCTTCAACATGTGATTGATAGTTCGTATATAATCTTATGGATGTTAGCGACTGTATTCATTATTCACTTTATTATCCTTTTCAATATATTATGTAATCTATTATGACTTTCTTACTTCTTATCAATGATTTCTTTGTTATCACGATATTTTATTCCGAATTTATTATTCTTGTTTATTCACTTATCCACTGTATGTTCTGAGAAGTTGTATGTTTCTAGGGAAATGTTCGTCTTCATTATTTGATTTGTACATACATGATTATTATTAAACAGGAATTGGATAGATTTTCATCAGAATAGTGAATGAATGTGTTATGGATGCAGAATAATGTGCCAATCATTATCATGTTAAGCCTAGTGATGACCTTGGACGTTAAATGAACATTTCCTATTGGCCATTATTTATTTCATCCGTTAAATATTGTACAAATGTTGTCTTCTATTTTTATGGTACGATGTGGTCTGTTTGGTTAGTATATAAATAGAGTATGTCTGAAATACAATGATTCATATCTCAGAGGTTGTGACTTGTGTTCTGGACTCAAATGACTGGGCTAGACAGGGAAGCGAGACCAATAAAGACTCTAGGCCGTCCGTACGTGTTTACGTGTCATTGGATCGATCGATTAATACGCTGCTCTCTAGTTTTTTCCAGTCAAGGACACAACAATTAGCACAGGGTAAAAATCGACCCAACTTAAAGTCATAACAGAATGACAAAATGAATTAAAGACAGATGGCAAAACTAAATGACAAGAGATTCAAACGTTTTATGAAATATGTAAAAAGATAACTTAAATTTTGCACAATATTTTAAATTGTTGTTGTGTCCCAATAAGAATAATGAGTCGTCATTTTCTGGGATCTATTTATGGACCAATATTGTGCGTATATTTTTGTTGTATAATTGTCAATTAACTAAACTATTCATATTCATGTCTCACTTGACATAAGCTTTATTTTGACTTATGAACTGTTATTATACGATTTTCCATTCTTGAATTATTCCCTGTCTATTAATCACTACCTCTCACATTCACAACCACATTTGGCCAATTCTTTTACAAATGTTGTTTTCTATTTTATGGTACGTTGTGGTCTGTTTGATTGGTATATAGCACTCAGTATGTTTGAAATATATTGGTTCATATCTAAGAGGCTCGGATTGGTGTTCTGGACTTAAATGGCTGGGCTAGGTGGAAGGCAGAACCAATCAAGACTCTAGACTGGTCGCACGTGTTTTACGCGCCCTTGGTCCGATCGATAATTCGCTGCTCCCTAATTGGCGGTTACAAGTTATAACAACTGTTTAACTATATCAATTTTTCGTTCACTACCATGTAATAAATCTGTGACTTTTCAGACCTGAATTTTACAATTAGTTAATTCTACTAACATTTTGTAGTGAAAGAGAAAACAAGTGAAGACAGTCGATTATATATAGCACAAAATTACAGAGCTTCTTAGTAAAATAAAAAATTCACACTTCAAATACTTCATTTGCAAAATGTTTATTATTTGTCTCAGATTTCATTGTTCCTGGATTTCTATACCAATTGTTTTCTGTCCCTATTCTTCCCTTCTTGATCTTATCAACCTTTTGCTGCCAGACATTTTATTCCTGACTAGCGTTATATACTACTTATGTCGATATAAGTAGCAAACACTACAATTCCATTAGCTAGAATTTATCTTTTTGCACACAAATTCTCGTAATTAGCTCATATTTTCGCTACCTATGGATAAAACCCTCAATAGATAAACACCTGGCTTCCGTCCAAATGTCATATTATACACTCTAAAGTCTTTTATTTCAGAAAAATTCTCGCAAAATTCGAGCATGACATTGTACTGATTAGGCAGCTGCTTAATCAACTCATGCCTCAGAATATCACCGGGGTCACCTTGCTAAAGGTGTACAGACTAGGGAGTCTAGCGGACTCGAAACCAAATCATTCCAGACTGCTTAAAGTAGTCTTCGGCTCTTCGAACGAACGTGACCTAATTTTACAAAATGGACACAAATTAAAGGGTTCAGGAGTCTTTATCCGAAAGGACCTACCGTTGGCAGACCGTGTTAAAAGACGGGAAGCCGAGAAAGAACTACAACTTAGGTTAGACGCTGGCGAAAAGGACCTAAAAATTGTAAATTTTCGGGTTGTGAGATTTCGACAGAGAATGATGCCGAAGCCACTCTGGGTGAAGCACGAAGGCACTTAAACAGGCTTCGGATCTGTTACACCAATGTACGAAGCTTACTTAATAAGCGATCGGAACTAGGTGTACAGATTGACTCTACAAAGCCAGACATAATCGCAGTAACAGAAACCTGGCTGACACAGGCTATAGATAGTATAGAACTTGATTTCGAGGGTTTTACGTTAGTAAGGGCCGACAGAGGGGAAGTAGCTTTATTCATTAGGAATGCTATCCCATTTGCCATTATCGATAGTGTATCCCATGAGAGTGGGACGTGTGAATTAGTTAGTCTTCGCTTAGAATGCAAGGAACAAGAGCTGCTGATTGGTTTGGTCTATCGCAGTCCAAGCTGTGAGGCAAATGAGATCCTGTTAAGCAGTCTCAATACTTGGTCCCAAAGTGGTCGATGTCTAATCCTAGGGGACTTTAATGCACCTATGGTAGACTGGGAAAATTTGCGAACTAAATCGTCGGAGAATTCTTTCGAGCAGGAACTAGTTGATGGGGCTATCACATGTGCTCTAGTGCAACACGTGAAAGAAGTGACAAGGTACGATCCGGACACTGAATCATCCTTATTAGATCTTATACTGACTCACTATGAGGATGATGTTGCAAACCTCCACCATATGCCACCCCTAGGTAAAAGTGACCACGCAGTTTTAACTTTCGACTTCCATATAACTGCCAGTCACGAGGACGCGTCAGTCCAGTCCAGACCCAACGTCTGGAAAGCAAACATACCAGACATCATGCACTCAGCATCGTTAATAGATTAGACAACGGACCCAGAGTCCTCCATTGAGATGGCCTGGGACGCATTTCGAAATTCATACTTAAAAGTTACCACACCTCGCATCCCTTGGACTATACCAAAGGGGCCGAAAAACTCCCCACCATGGTTCAGTAGGGAGGTCCGTATCCTTCTCCGTAAGAAAAGGAAAATGTGGGATAGATTTAGGTTATTGAGGACTGATGAGTCAAAATCTCAGTATCGAAAGGCTCGCAATACTTGTGCCTCGACCCTCCGTAAGTCTAGAAAACTGTACGAAGGAAAACTTGTTAAGGAATCCATAGAATGTCCTAAACGCTTGTATTCCTATATAAACCAAAGGACAAGGAGAAAAGGAAATATTCCTGCTCTATGGGGTGACAGTACTGCTTCATCATTAGTGGAGGACGACTTTGGTAAGTCTCAAGTGTTCTCGAACTACTTTAGCAACGTATATACCATAGAAGCGCCCTTCCCGTCAGCGTATACAGATCCCGCCATACATGCACTGGATAGTGTGACCATTAAAGAACTCGATGTCTTTGGTCTGCTAAATAAGCTTGACATGGGTAAATCCACGGGGCCCGATGAATTACATCCTAGGCTACTGAAGGAATTATCTAACTTCGTTGCAAGCCCTTTAAGTACATGCTTTAACCTATCTGTTACGCAGGGTCGTTTATCAAAAGACTGGAAAAATGCCATAGTAAGTCCTGTCTTCAAAACAGGTACGAAACACAAACCTGAGAACTACCGCCCCGTTAGCCTAACTAGTGTGGTTGTTAAAATCTTAGAGAAGATTATTCGGAAGGAGCTGTTTAAGTATCCCGATAAAACCGGATCCTCTCGGAGAAGCAGCACGGCTTCAGGATAGGTTATTCTTGTCTCACTAAATTATTAGTGGCTCGTGAAAGCTGGTGCGCTCTTAAGGACCAAAAGCTACCTGTAGATGTCACCTTCATTGATTTCAGTAAAGCTTTTGACAAAGTTCCGCACAACCGGCTGTTATATAAGTTAAGAAAAGTCGGGATTGGAGGCAATTTATTGATGTGGATAAAAGACTTCTTAGTTGGGCATCAACAAAGAGTAAGGGTGAACTCTAATATCAAGTGTTGTCTTGTTTCAGTGGTCTTTTGTTGCAGCGAAACCACAAAATCATTGGTAAGAACATTGATTTACTCCTCTCTGTCATGTAGTGCACACGTTGGATTGATTGTTGCCTCGTAACTTCCCAATCTGCCTTATTTCGGAGAAACTTTTGTCTGGTTTGGGGACATTTTGCAGATGATTTTCGTCGAGTTCGTCCCGTCCTGTCTACCTAAAAGTAAAAAGTATTGCGAGCAGATGTAAGCTGGATCGTGTACAAATTTTGACATACATGTGTCCTTGCCGTCATATGCTACTATCATACATAAAACGAACTCTTACAATTCAACAACCCAACATAAACTCAACATGGTAGACGACTGGTGCAAACTCTGGAGGTTAGAGCTCAACAAAGAGAAATGCGGCTGGTTATGTATAGGAGACACATCTCTTAAAATAGAACTAACACTTAACATCCATACACTGCCCACACTGGTATCAGTAACTGACCTAGGGGTATTTTACTCACACAGTCTTAATTTCTCTGAACACGTCTCAACCAAAGCATCTAAAATGCGGAAATTGCTTGGCTTCATTCTCCGTAATCTCTACCAAAATAAATCTAAAATCCTTCTTTATAAATTATTGTTAGACCTATCGTTGTATACTGCTCGTTCTTATTTTTCAACCCTAAAACATCAAGAGAACCGCACAATCGACTGCCTACTACCAGTGGTCTTGCATCTATGGAGCCTGTTACCCATCAACTGGCCAGGACAACACAAAATAACATCAGTGCCAATGTAGTGGATGTTTCCTCTTGTTTATTCTTTGTTAGCTTTTTACTCTTCTGTACACTGTTATTATTATTATTTCTCCGCTCGTTACCTTATCTACAACTCATATACTTCTATACTTATCCGCCTGCTTTAATAAACAACTATCCTACATTATACCCTTCTCAAAGTGGTACTTATAGAAATAGTGTTTTCCAACAGGTTATGAAACACAAAGGATTGTGTGAGGTATGACACATATCCGAAAATAAGCTTAAATGAACCTAACACCACAAAAGGAGGGATGGTGGAGTTGCTGACCAGCAAGCATTGACGGTGAGGGCGATGACTTCAATCCACCTGTGTCTGTGGGGTAGAACATTTTGTATGTATCAGGCTCTTTATGATTAAGAATAAGTCAATCAATCTGTGATATAGATTGTTTTCCTGCGCTCACCACTCAGA